GTGACCGCGGACTCGCCCGTATCCAATGCACAGCAGCGCTGGTCTCGAGTGACGGATGTGAAGTGTGATGATGTTCTGGTCGGGCTCACGAGCCGGAGGTTGCTTAAAATTGAAAAAAAATAATTAATGCGAAAATCTAAAGCAACGTTGAATTATTTTATTATCGAACCCTATAGGAAATGTTTCATCTGGAGGATTTGAAAGGCCGTCATTAGTCATCATAAGCCGTGATCAATCCACTGCTGGATAAACAAAGACAAAGATACCCCGCAAAGCCTTAACATACTGGAGGAGCAAGTTCTGTTAGCGAGCACCTATGAAGAACGGAACGGCACACGAGGGAGTGGGTGACCAACACCACCCCCGGCCGCCTTTGTCTCCCGAGTGGCGATGTTTACACACCGCACCAGGTACTCATTTTTTAGGCTGAGTCGACCTAGCACCCGCGCACCTCCAGCCGAGCCGATTTCATCGCTCCGTTTTTCTCTGCAAATAAAAGAGGGGGCACGGACCCCCAACTTTCTAAAGCGTGTGATCGATCAAAGCAGCGGATCGATATCGAGAAAGAAGAGCGTGTTTAATTGCCACGCACTCCCTACTCTCACACGCGGTTCAGGCACACGTGGGGTCATGGACGAGAATTGCGGAACAATTTAAAAGCTTGCGATGAAGCGTGGAGAGATTCCCTCTAAACATTGCATTGAGAGGAACGTGTGGAATTAGAGATTGTACGCCCGTGAAAAGGTTGGCTGCGTGTACGGTGCGAAAGAAGTTCAACATACATACACTTAGGCCGTTATTATATTTGTATTTTACCAGGTAAGGCTATGAAACTCTTTTTCAGAAGTGACCTGAGCCAATGATAGGCCAACGAAGTGCCCTATCATGTGGACATTTATAGCAGCCAAATAGTCTAAACCCATGCTGATTCTCAATGTGAAGGGGGAAACCCGGAGGACCCGAAGAAAAATCCACGGGGAGAAGACGTGCAAACTCCAAATATACAGGCGTTATAGTTGGGATTGAACCCACGACCTCCTGTATGCCAGGCGAGGGAGTTAACATCTCGCCACCGCGGCGCCCCGCTAAACAAAAGTCAGTGAGGCTTGGACTGGGACGCGCCACGGCTAGAGAGGCTAACGGGTGAAAACGAACGACCGAGTTGATAGCCAATGAATGGAGCCCGTCCGAGAGACGGTAGCGAATGGAAGAGGCCTCCATCAGCTCAGCTCGTGGTGCTGACGGCGCTGGCTCATTGTGGGACCCCGAAGTAGAATTCAAATTAGCCCCCCGCCCCCACCCCATTTTGATGTATACACTTCCTCGCGAGAAGCAGAGAGAGAGATTTAGTGCGATGAGCGAGCCGTGGGTGAGTGTAAACAAAAGAGAAAGCTGTCGTGAGATTGAACAAATGCAAGACAGAAGCGGTGAAATGGGAGATCCGGACGAATGTGCAGCGACGTGAGAGTGGACATTCAGATGCGATCGGAATGCGAGATGAATTATCTTTCTTAAACGCAAATGCGCGTGTTACCTTTATAGGTTTCTAACTATAGGTCAACTTTTGCTTCACCCATATACTGTATATTATTGTTTTGTACAAATCCCGGGAGGACACCTTGAGCCGATTTTGGCCATTAAGTATTTTTCTTAAAATACTAAATTGTTTTTTTTTTTGCCAGACCGCCGCATAAATGCAATGTGCGTCGCAAACCCTCCTCCACCCGGCACAGCCAATTAATAAAGCTGTCATGTTATTAACACACGTGACCAATGTATGACTGCTTCAGCAGCACATCGGTAGTGTCGTTGGAGAGCGATCTCGCAACGTTTAAATAGTTTCGACGTTTCGCTAACAGATTCAACAACCAGCATCGCGGGCGAGTTTCCCGAATAAAATTTCATTTACGCAATATGACCCCCCAAAAAACCCATCAATTATGAATCATAACACCGGTCGCGAGAGCCGACTAAGTGTTACATTAATTTCGCTTAGCTCAGCCTGTCTTGCGCCTAGCAACACCACGGCATCCAGCAGTGGAATGAACATAACTAAAGAAGAAGATGATGATGATGATTGCTGGACTCCCCACCCCCCGCCCCGCGCCCAGCCCAGGGGCTACACGTGGTCACAAAAGCGAGGAGTGTCGCGGACGCGCAGCCGTGTGGCAGAGCGCGTATCATATTTTACATCAATAAGTAACTCGAACGCGCCCCGTCCGCCCGCGGCCACCTCACCTGCTGAGCGCCAACCACCACACCCCACCGCCCGCGCAGTTCAGCTGCGCAAAGTGGGTGAGCCGCGTTCGCAGGGGGGCCGAGCTCGTGCTGGTTGCGCCGCGGAGTTCAGCTTGCACAACCGAGAAACTCCGTAGGCGAGCCTCCGACCGCAGGTGAGGTCGCGCAGTTGAGCTTCTGCGGAGTGCGAGCTCGTACGAATGTGAGATCCCCCCTCTCCGCCTCACCCAAAGGTGAGGCTCCACGGGTGAGCTTGTACAAGGCGAGGTTCTCCAGGTGAGATGTAAACGTGAGTCTCCACAGGTGAGCTTGTAGAGATGAGATTCTGCTGGCGAGCTTGTACAGGTGAGATCCCGCAGGTGGGTTTGTAGAGGTGACACTTCACAGGTGATGTTGTACAGGCAGGTAAATGAGTCTCTGAAGTGAGGTTGTACAGGCGAGCTGTCTGTGCAATTCCGTAGATGAAGACTCCACCTGCCCGTCTGCCCACTCTTACCCACCGACTCACCTAAGGGCCCTAAACAACAGACCGACAAACTTGGCTTAAATCCAAGAGCCCCATTTATAACTGGGAAAAAAAATGGAGAGAACTGGTTGTAGAAGTTCTGGAGCCCCTGGTTCTACCGTAGTTACAAACAGAGCACACCTGTGTGTGTGTGTGTGGTGTGTGCGTGAAGCACCCGTGCGAGTGGCGTATAATGTACCTGTATAACGTGGACGTAAATGTACGCTGTGCGTATCACGGCGGAGCGGGTTGCCTACAAGCGGAGAGACGGCGTGAGTTCTCCCCTTAAGTAGGCAAGGCCAGGTGGGGGTGGGGCCTGTGAGCTCCTGGGGGCGGGCCAAGTTAACGTGTAGGCGTGGCCAAGATGAACTGGACGTGGCCAAGTTGAACTTGGCGGTTCCCAGGTGAGAATGGGCGTGGCCCAGGTGAGAATGGACGTGACCCAGGTGATGATGGGCGTGGCCCAGGTGACGGTGGGCGTGGCCCGGGTGAATCACGTGGGCGGGTACGGGTAATGTTTAAACAAGACACGTGCCAAAGTTGTAAGCGCAATCCGTTGTGAATACGAAAATTATTTGGTAAACAATGATGCTGCTACTGCTGCATTGGCGGTGGTGCACAAATACCAACTCAACACCTTCCTTCTCAATATCACTGTGGCCCTAAAATGAAACACATATATAATAGGCGACGTTTCGGGAATTGACCCTTATTCAAATCATATAGCCAGACAGGAAGAGTGTCATAAATAATCAAATATTTGTGTCTTGGTTTTTTTTACCGTGTCGTTTATATTTTATAAAATCGTTTGTCTTGGTTTCTTTTGTTCAGCTCTGCTGGAGACGTCAGGCTGAGTGAGTCATTAGCAGTTATTTACAGCTAGTTTGCATAAGCTCGAAAGAGTTTTAGTGGCGTCGGGCAGGATACGTCATGACTCAGAGGCCCCACGGCCGCTGGTCAGTGGTCAAGACTCGTGAAGGAGTGGCAGCCAAGGGATGGAATGCGTCAGAGAGATAGAGAGAGAGACAACACGTACCCCGAGGAGATGCAGCGATGAAATCACCTTTTTGTGAATGGTGTTAGCTTAGGGAGATCTTCATCTAACAGTGGTGGGTGGTGGTGGGATCTTGGTGAGAACCGCCGCCTAAATATTCAATATGTGCAGGAAATAACCATTGACTGTGTTCAACATAACGGACTTTAATCGATGATAAATCGTCGACGAGTCTCCTGAATACTGTTACCATTGGCGGTGCCTCGCGAGTGTGGGTCTACTGTGATGAGTAAATGTGAAAAGAGATGAAGCGATTAGCCGCGCGCGGGTTACGGCACCGAACAGGAATGTTTCGTGCTGACAAAAGCCGAGTCGACGAACCCTTTCATGATTTTGAAGCTTTCGGTGACTGCAGGAATCCATACTCTTTGGTTCTGTCGGTAAAGTCACGTAGGTAGAAAATAAAACAAATCACGACGTTTCGGGCGCAACACAAGCGTCCGTCATCAGGTGGGAAAGCGTGGTCTGCTCATGCTTTCCGAACCAAAGAGTATGGACCATTTCATGCTTCCATCTGCTGCGTGGTAACCGCCCGCAACTCCGCACCGATGGGTTCAACAATTCACCACTTTGTTGTCACCACCACCCACCCACCCACTCACCACTTCGTATCCCAGGCCGACAACACCTGCAGGCACTTCGCAAGAGGTCTCCCAGCCGAGCGCCTAACAGGCGCAGTCAGGCTCCATCCGACGTCCGATCGACAAGGCAACACGCGCACTCACACCTCATGAGACAAAGGTCCCCCGTGTAGTCTCTAACAGGCTGCTTGGGGCAAGTTGCTGTTCGCGAGTGGCACCTATGAAGGCCGGGGACGAGGCACCTCGCCTGGCCGCTTTGTCTCCCCGAGCGCCGATGTTTTTGTTTTAATACACCGCACCCGGTTCTACGACTCATTTAAGGCTGAGTCGACCTAGGGGAGGAGGCCCAGGACCGGTTCAGACAATCGTCACCGGTGTTGGCCGTGAGCGAGAATAGAGCCCCGGGTCACCAGGTTCGTAACGCGGCGTAGCGCTAACCACTGCACTACCGCTCCCCCACTGCACATAGACCAATTGCACAAACACACACGCAGACACACACGCGCACACTGGACACGCGACGCCTCGTGACATTTTCTACGAGGTGGGGGCTGTTGTGAGTGACCTCTGAAAAGATGGTGTTCTCGTTAAGAAAAAAAAACCCCGTCGTCACATTACTCACCCTCTGTCTCCCTGTCCAGGCCTTGTTCCGAGATGGAAGCGTGACAAAGATGACGAGGGAAACAGAAAAGGTTCATTCTGCTTTGCACATCCGCATAGTCAGGCCTTTCCAGCATACCAGCTCTGGCTAAATGTCCCCAGGGTATAATTCTAGATTTGAAGCTTTCGTAACTGCAAAGATTCATACTCTTAGTTCTTTCGGTAAAGTCACGTAGGTAAAAAATGAAATTAAAATTAATAATAAAAATAAAATTAATAATGTTGTTTTTTTATTAATTTTAATTTCATTTTTTTACCTACGTGACTTTACCGAAAGAACTAAGAGTATGAATCCCCAGGGTATGCTTTTCCTCTGTCGCCTGAAAGCTGGTTGATGTCGATGTTCGGTTGATCGGCACCCAGTTGCTTGACATTCAACTTCTCCTGCATAGCGATCCTCTCAAATGGGATATTTAGGAGTGAATCCCACCGTGTTCGTTGCCAAGTCGTCGTTTGCTGCTCCTGCTGCCATCGCTGTTGCTGTTGTTTCCTCCCAGAGCGCTACATTTGCACGGTGCCACCTCGCGTCGTGACATCGTCTCACGACAGCCACGGTGCGACTTTTTCACCGCCCTCAATGGGTCTCAAACGGCGTGGCTAAAAATGCGAAGCTCATCGCAACGAATGAAGGGAAATCTATCACTCGGACGCCTTCACAGACCGCCCAGAGACCTTCCCGAGGCACAAATCAGACTTTGGTGTCGCAGCGGTTTCTAATACGAACAAACTTAAAATGTTAGGCAATTCACGTTGAAAGACTCATTTAAAAAAATGTTTACACAACAAAACAATTTATATAAAAATATTTTTTATTACAAAAAATACATTCCTGCGGAGGGAGCTGGTAGGAAGGTTGGGTTGCTCGGTCAATGGCCAGGGTCAACGGCGGCGTGGTGTATTCCGCAAATATGCCCGACTGTGAGGGCGGGCACAAGCCGGCGTGAGTAGGTTAAACGTTGAGTTTTATAAGGGCACCACGGGGTGACCAGCCCCTCCCCACCCAGCCCCACCCCTCCCACCCCCCACCCTGCCCCACCCTCCCCACCCAGCCCCTCCCCATCCAGCCCCTCCCCTCCCCACCCCCTCCCTCCCCACCCAGCCCCTCCCTGCACGACGGACGGACACAATAATCCCCTGTGGGCTGGTGTAACCAGGAGGTTCCTACCAGTATCATATCTCCAGCTGCTTGGCGGGGCACCGGCCTAACGCCCCTAGTGGTCGAACCGCGCCTGCCGACTACGCAGACAAGAGGCACCCTTCTGTGAATAATTAACACCGCGTCTAAAAGCAACAAGGGCACACAGAAGCCCTAAATACCCAAATACGGCGAACAAAAGTTCAAACATAAGGGACACGTTACGACACACGTACACGCAGACTCATGCAGCTTCACAACAAAGCAAGACAAATATTCCCCGTACAACCATACTGACTGTTGGGGCAAGTGCTGTTAGCGAGGAGCACCTATTACTTGTAGGAACCTCCTGGTTACACCAGCCCACAGGGGATTATTGTGTCCGTCCGTCGTGCAGGGAGGGGCTGGGTGGGGAGGGAGGGGGTGGGGAGGGGAGGGGCTGGATGGGGAGGGGCTGGGTGGGGAGGGTGGGGCAGGGTGGGGGGTGGGAGGGGTGGGGCTGGGTGGGGAGGGGCTGGTCACCCCGTGGTGCCCTTATAAAACTCAACGTTTAACCTACTCACGCCGGCTTGTGCCCGCCCTCACAGTCGGGCATATTTGCGGAATACACCACGCAGCCGTTGACCCTGGCCATTGACCGACCAACCCAACGTTCCTTCCAGCTCCCTCCGCAGGACAATGTGTTGAGAAGGCTGGCACGGCACGCGAGGGGGTGGTTGGTCAGGACTACGCAAGGCCGCCTTTATTTTCCCAATGCTGATGTTTACACAACCGCACCAGATACTCATTTCGACTTAAAGCTTTCGTGATTGCAGGAATTCATATTCTTGGGTCTGTCGGTAAAGTCGCGTATTTTCTTCGAAACTATCTACGTGACTTTACCGAAATACCCAAGAATACAGATACTCATTTTAAGGCCGAGTCGACGTAGGGGAGGCCCTGTGCCGGTTCAGATAATCGTCACTGACATTCGGTCGTGAACGGAAATTGAACTCGAGTCGTCGGGTTTGTGTCGCAACGCGCTAATCACTTACACGACCGCCCACCCCACGGACCTTCATACGTGCACACATACCACACGGACACATCATGCACGCACGCACGCCCATAAACGTGCACACGCACACAGCTATAAGTTCTAACCTTTTGACTCCACGGTGACGTAACAAAAAAAATATGAATCTAAAAATAAACTCAACGACACCGCCACGTGCAGCAATGTGAGTCAAGGCTGCCGCGTCGGGTCAAGAGGTCAGGTCAATGATTCGGCGTTACGGTCAACGTCTCACGGCACCGGTTGCAGGTGTCAGAGGATCCCTCATTCACAGAGCTCGCTGCAAACTCCGGGAACCCATGCGGGCTTATTTGTTCATTTAATTATATTTGCCTCGCAAAGGCAAAACAACCATAACGAGTGGATGTACAATAGATACGAGTTAATCTTTGTCTTGGATTGAGCAAGATTATATTATTTTATGAACTTGGGGGCAAGAGGCGATGACGGAGGAGGGGATTCTGCCGCGGAAAGAGAGATGTCGTGCCCTGCAGCGTGGTGAGTGGGTGGGCGAGAGGCTATGGTGGTTGAACGCAGTGCGGTTGAGACTGAACTGGAGAAATCTGACAGACCGAGTCCTCAGACTCAAGGAGGCAGGTTCACGTGGCCATGCGAGTTGCGATGGAGGAGTGACGGGGAGCTCGCTGTAGGGACCCCTAAAGTCGTGGTTTCATTCCTCACCGGATATCGTTTCGGGTCGCCGATCGACCACAGGAGGTGGCGCGTGACCGGTGACCATCACGGCCACAGCAAGATGGTGGATTCATCTTCTTGGTTCTTTCTGTAAAGTCACGTAGAATGGAAATAATAAAAATAAAACATAATAAAATAATTCTCACGCAAGCTTGAGTTGTGGCCGAAACGTCGTGAGAATTGTATTTTATTATGTTTTATTATTATTTTATTATTTCCATTCTACGTGACTTTACCGAAAGAACCAAGAAGATCAATCCCTGCAGTCACGAAAGCTTTAAATCGAAATTTAAGATGGTGGATACTGGATGTGGGGTGGCGGTGCCGGAAATGTGTTTCTTTATGGTCACAGACCCGTAATAGAGTTTTTTTGGGTTAGAGCGCGTAAATATATAAATGTGTCGTTAAAACCCGCCACCACCCGACACAGCCAACTAGTAAGGGTTGTCACGTAAACAGAACGTGGCCAATTCGTCACTAGTCCAGCACTAACCGGTGTGTTGGAGAGCCAAGCCACAACATTTACAATCTGAGTACGACGTTTCGCCAGTAATTACCACCAGCTTCATCACAGACCCGGCTGGAATGAAGCCCTGGGTACATCCATCGGGAACCCTACAGCCAGGGTCCGGTGGAGTAGGCCTCGGAAAGGTAAGGTAATTTACCCTTTTTACCGGGTAAAAGGGTAAAGGTGTCGACATGCCAAGGGGTAAGGGTAGGGTAAAAGGTAGGCTCGTTGCTTTTTAAATCCTTTATATTAAGTTCGCTTGCTTGCTTGCTTGCGTGCTTGCTTGCTTGCTTAAGACCGTGCAAATCTTTCGGTCGTTTTTTACCCCACTTCCCGTGATCCAATCGAGCTGACATTTTCCACACAGACTCGTTGTGCGAGACAATTAATGTTCGTGAAAAAAAATTTCCCAAAATTTTACACTTTTTAGGCAAAAAATAAGCATTTTACATATATTCAAATAGAACTCATTCATGGCTTTGGTTGAACGTCACAGTGTTAAAGAGCCCAGAGTGTAACCCCTTCACAGGCCGTGGCGGAGTAGCGCAGTTGGTAGCGCCCTCGCTTCCCATGCCAAAGGTCGCGAGATCGATCCCCGCGTCCTCCACAGGCGAATATATTTTAAATCCTTTATATTAAGTTCGCTTGCTTGCTTAGGACCGTGCAAATCTTTCGGTCGTTTTTTAACCCACTTCCCGTGATCCAATCGAGCTGACATTTTCCACACAGACTCGTTGTGTGTGACAATTAATTTTCGTGAAATTTTTTTTCCAAAATTTTACACTGTTTAGGGAAAACAAATTAAATATTTAATTACCAATTGCTTAATACTGGCAGACAATCATCTGACCCATAGATTGCAGCCATCTCAAGCCAGAGGACGAGAGGACTCTAGCCGCCACGCATATAAAGGATTTATAGTGAAAAACTTTGTTTTTACGGGTTTACTTGTTACCTTTTACCTTACCTGCAAAAGGGTAAAAGGTAGGGTAGAGTGATTGTATTGTGGTAAGGTAAAAGGTAGGGTAAAGGTACGCTCGTTGTTTTTACACTTTTACCTTACCTTGCCGAGGCCTACGGTGGAGTGAGGGCTCTCGTCACGGCTGTTAAATGTTCATTTCCTTACCAATCCAGTTTTACCGCCACCCCACGCCCAATGCCAAACTGCCGCCCAGCGGTCATCGCCTTGGTTATTTCGGTTCTGTTTTTTTTTACTTCACGCAAACCAAAACACACGCACGTCCCTTGGACGTTACCATCCGTCCCTCCCTCGAGCCAGCCACATAGCGGAACAGGTTTATCCTGCGTATAGAACGACACCAAAGATGGACCGTGTAACCGAGATTTAGTGGCCGAGGTGACGGGATGACGAGCTAGATGTCCCGGTGTACTTGAACGGCCGTCGGCTTCTTGGCGTCGGATAGCTCCACTCTGCCCGTTGAGGCCTGGACCTCGTGCCACCGATGACATCGTTCGCTCAAGATGTCTCCACCTGTGTGGCCACATTGTAAAGCCTAAGAACTCTTCCGCACACCGTGCCCTGCATCCGTCCACCTGGGTGAAGAACGGATTCTCCACCGGCTCCGTCACG